GAGGAAAAGTCCGGACAATATGGAAAGACTCATAATTCAAGGCAAGGTGGAGGGACGTAGACCACGTGGCCGCTCTCCAACTCGATGGATAGACCAGATCACGACTAGCTGTAGCAAGCCAATGCACGATGTCATCGAGATAACAAAACACAGAGGCGCATGGAGAAAAATCATCCACGCTGACCACTACACTCCCTAATGGAGGTCAGGACTGAAGAGAGAGAGAGAGGTCAGTAGTACTGCTTTAGTTTGATGTGAAGCTACGGTTAACAGATTATTCCCTATCCAGTTTACAACTCTTTGGATTGCCAAGTTGACGGTGTTCATCATCAGTACATCTTCATCCTTTGCACATGATACAATGGCAAGGTCATCTGCAAAGGCAACTAAAGTTGTTTTATCTGGCATTTCTATCCTCAGTTGTTCATCATAGAGTACGTTCCAGAGCATAGGTCCCAAGACTCAGTCACAGTTTTTTGTAACCCTTCGGCCTCTATTATGATTCTTCCCTCTGATAGGTAGGATGTTATAATATCAATTAGACATTGATTTATTTTCCTCTTTTGCAGATTGTTCAATATAACTTGCCAGAAGGCGTTATTAAATGCATTTCTGACGTCAATTGTAATCATTGCATAGTCTACGATGCTTACTCGTGTATGCAGCAGCTTCTTCCGCTATCTGCATTACTTTAAGGATAGTATCCAGAGTCTGCCTTCCTTCACGAAAGCCATATTGTGTGTCTGAGAATCCCCCTTTGCGAGTCATTTCCTCTTCCAGCTTAGCTCGTATGAGGTGTTCATACAGCTTTCCTTCTGCATCTAGGAGACTGACTGGTCTGAAAGATGCTGGTTCGTTCAGCAATTGGTTTCCCTTCCTCAGTAGTGCCAGTTTGCCTATTTGCCATTCCGATGGGAATTTACTTTTCCGAGCTAATGAATTATACACCGATAGAACATGTTCAGGTTTGTTATTAGCAGTAGCTTTTAGTACTTCTTATGGTATATATTACTGGGACCAGGAGCTTTATTATTTTTTAGTTTATTGCACGCGACACACAAATAGTTACCTTCAAATTACCAAAAAAAAAATTAGCAAAAATATGATTTTGTCATTGTCAAATTCAATGTCACATTTTTTTTTGTTTACAAGAATTTATTTGGTTTGAAAATGGTGATTATTTTTGGGTGGAAACTTTTTTCTTTCTAAATAGGAATGATTATCTAAGTATAAAAGAATTAGTTGAACTGAGAATAGTATGCGCGGTGTGTAACTTGTTTGCTGTTCATTACTCGATCACTTTGACAATGACACAATCACATTTTTGCTGGCATTTTAATTGTAGCTTTCTCTGGGTCGTTTATAAATTTTACTAATTTGAAGGTAGATTTTTGCAAATAACTTTTAAATTAATATTCCAAATAAAAAGAAATTCTAGACAACAGTACAATTTTAACTCGTCTTCAAAAAAATCTCATAAAACTTTTGCATAAAATTATCTGGAGAGATAATATTTGATCCTTTCAAAATTTACATGTGATTTTTTAAGTCCCGTGTTACGATGCACCACACAGTATATGTCATTAGGCTATTTTTTTTTTAAATGGCTACGGCTGACTTGACATCTCAAGTGTTAACTAATCTAAATCCTAAATTAATTAGCTTATTTTTGTAAATAGAATCTCCAATAAGGAATTTAATATCACGGGCCCTAAATATCCAGCCGTGTCTCCTTTTATTTGTAAATTTAATATCTCCGGAACTGAAAAAAAAGATGTTAAAAGCAGATTACAAAATTTGTGACGAAAATAAGAATTCCTTTTAGATAAGTTAGTGAAGTATAACCTAACCGTATTTTAATCAACTTTGAGTTTTTTGAGAATATTTTAATATGAATAAATGAAAATTAATTGAGTTTTCGTCAAGTTTTTATAACGCGTGGACAGAAAATCTTTTGGGAAAAAACGGTTTTTCTGCAGATAATAAGTAAAAAAGTTTGTATATAATCGTGTCCTAAAATGCTTCGTTTTGGAGACACAGAATTTTCGTTTTTTTTTAATTATTAATGTCTTTAATTCTAATAATAGAAATTTCAGCATATTCAGCACATAACTCTATTTTAGTTGTTATCGCAGCCAACGATAACAGGTTTTTAAAATTATACAGGGTGGGTCTTAAATAAGCGCAAACATATTTTCTCTTCGCCGCTTTTCAAATAAGTCCAAAATAAACGAGATATTTTACTTTGAAAATTTAAAAAAATATATTTTTTGCTTAAATTTTGAGAGCCACTGGATCTTGTCTGGGTTTTCTTTCTTCTAAATTTAGTCTACTACCTATGTTACATATTATCGAGAAATTATGTTTTTAACTAAAAAAAATCAATTTTTTTGTGAATAAAACCTCATTAACGTATTTCTGGGGTGAAAATATACTGCCCCTAAAAATATTTGCACTTATTTAAGACTCGCCCTATATATTTATATTCCCCGAAATATGCACCTGGAATAAAACTACAATTTTATCTCTCAGATACAGCCGCATGCGTTAAGTTGAAAAGGTCTTTTTGGATAAAGACTTTTCACGATTTGCATACTGTCTGCATGACGAAAAGTGCTTTTGTGGCATTTCTATAGCAAGAAATGATCGATTCGCTCTAAAATAAATCTTTCTAGGTATAGAGTCAGACTGAAAATTGAAATTTGGCTGAAATTATATACAGGGTGTTTCTTAATGACATGCCTGGAAAAGTTGCGGGTAGTGCAAAAAGCCAAAATAGCTTCGACCAAGCCAAAATAAAATCGACAAAGCATTTTTTACAAAACAAACAAAAGCACAAAAAATATACAATAGTAATCATACAATTCAAAAAAAAATTAGGTAATAAAATTACAAATAGAACATACATGAACAATTGCAGAACACAAAAAAGGGCGTATCAATAAAATAAATTCAAAATAGTTCATGATTAAACATCAACAAAAAAGTCGTTTAGCGCATATAGAGCTCTCTCCAGCAAGTATGATTTCAGAGCTTTGCGAGATGCGGGAAAGAATGAAAGGGACTTGATATTCAAAGGCAGATGATTGTACATTTTTTTTGGCATTGTATAGTATTGAGCCTTTAACTAGTTCTGAGCTCGGGGTTGGCAGATAAAGATCGTGCTCCGCATTCCTAAGTAATAGCAGATATGTACTTGCGGATTAAGCAAACGGATTCTAAAATGAATAAAGAAGGAAGAGTCAGTATTTTGAAATTTTTATAACAGATATATTAAACATATCATTGATTTATTTTAACCAAACATCTACAAGCATAATAATATACAGAGAAGACCAGGCTACTAGTAACATAGCAACTTGCCGGACGAATTTACGCTTACCCGATTGCGTTGGTACTTATTCACTGCCGGCTAGTCGGCTGGTCATGCAGTAGGCAGTTGCAGTTGTGCTTGGACGGGTCGGTCGTGACAGACTAGGAATTTAAAGTGTTTACCTTCACTTAAGGTAACATTTAAAATAAAAATACTTAAATATTTATTATTTGAGTGTGTTTACAAGCCAAAACTAAAAATAAATAAATTCTCTAAACCCAAAATTAAAAAATACCTCAATAAAATAAAAAAAAAACTAAAATATTACTCTAAATAAAAAAAAGTTATAACAAGTGTTCAAAAAGACCACCGTCTTGTGCTAGACCGAAGCCTAGGCGGTCGTAAAATCCCCGTCTGACATTGGCTAACATATTAGAGCTAATAGTTTGGAAAGCCTCTCGTATTTTTATTTGAAGCTCATCCAGATTATTAGCCCTATTATGACCATACACTTTGGATTTTACATAACCCCACAAAAAGAAATCATTGGGAGAAAGATCTGGTGATCTAGCGGGCCACAAAATAGTTCCATATCCACTAATTGAATGGTTGGGAAAAGTATTGTTCAAATATTCTTGAACAATACATTGTGGGCATTGTGGGCAGGGCAACCATCTTGCTGAAACCAGACATTGTTGAATCTTTCTCCCAATAACTCACGAATTCTAGGCACAATCTGCTGTTGTAACAAGTCCAAATACTTTGCAACAGTTAAATTACCCCTACAAAACCACCCCAAATATTTAGCTTTTGAGGATATTGCGTGCGTACCTCAAAATATTTGTGCACATTTTCCCGAGACCAATATCGTACTTGTGTAGGGTTATGACGACTCAATAAATGAAAACTTGATTCGTCGGTGAAAACTATACGCCGAATAAAGTTTTCATCTAAATTGGCCTTTTCCATTACAGATTCACAAAACGCCATACGCCGAAATTGGTTGTTCATGGAAAATTTCTTGAGTTTTGCGCGCTTTATACGATCGGTATCCATTCTTTTTAAGGACTCTTTTAACCGTGCTAGGTGAAGAATCTGTTACCTCAGCAATTTGATTACTTGAAAACGTGGGATTTTGATCCGCGGTAGCACAAATGAACACTTGCTTTAACTCCTGTTCTTCATTAATCAACACATCAGGTTTTTTGTGTTTTTGTGCGGACAAGCACCCATGTGTTTCAAAATTATTAATAACTCTTGATATAGTAGGTAAAGATGGAATTGGCCTGTTTACAAAAGTTTGTGGAAAAATTGTTTGTATATCCCGATAAGACCTATTTTGGAAATACCATTTTACAATTTGAATTTTCTCACGAACTTCGTAAACATCCATTATTTTACTTAAAAAATAAATTTTACACGAGAGCTGCCGCGAGAATCTATGTATTCGTTTTGGCTATTAAAACACGAATTAATACAAATTCTGAAACATTTTTATTTTATCGCATTTTTTCGCTTGCTTTTTATCCGGCGGACGGGTATACGCTAATTCGTCCGGTTCTGCCTATGTTACTATACTACGGTGGTCCGGTCTGTATACGTTGCAGGCGTATGGAATTATTCGACATTTTGCAAAAAAACTAGATATGTATATTTATAATATTATATTAAATCACCTCTTTTTCAGTTCGACGTTCAAGACTCTGGTTTCAAGAATTTCACCGGTTTAAAGAAGCAATATCCAAACGTCAAATTTCAAATTGCTGTCGGCGGATGGGCTGAAGGCGGTGAAAAATACTCAGCAATGGTTGCTGATAAATCCAGAAGAGACTCTTTTATAAGAAGCGTCGTCAGTAAGTTAATAAATTTTAGAAATTCTTACGTTTAAGTCACATTAGTTCTCAATAATAGTTACTTAACTATTTTTATAAAATAACTATATATCGTCTTGTATAAAAATAGTTACTTTATAAAAATAGTTAAATAGTTATTTTTTATACAAGACGATAATGCAATTTTATCGTCGTGTATAAAACAATATTTTTATTTCCATTACGTTTTATAAAATATTCAGAAATTATTATTTCAAGGAATTTATTACGAGTAGAAAAAATATTGTGCTGGGTTGGCGTTGGTTTCTGTGCAATTTGACAAATAAATAAAGCTGTCTCTTTAGTTGTCAGTTTTGAGTCAATATTTTTTAATTCCCTCTCGTGTCGATTGCTGATTGAATTGGAGCCAGAAATGGCTCAAAACGAAATAAGTAAATTACCAACAGATATTCTGGCTGAGGCGACAAACGCCATATCCAAACTACTTCCATTTAAATCCCGAATAACTTATGAAAAGGAATACAACATTTTTCAAAAATGGAAGCAATTAAAAAACGTGCGAGAAGAAATAAAGTTTTTAACCTATCCTCGCTGTTAAAGTATCATTTAATCTACCCTTGCGGTTAAAATACTATTTTATCTACTGATATAAGGCAAGTTTAACAGTTGCTATATGGAAAAAAGCAATAAAATAATGATATTTCACCCAAATAGTAAAATCATCCTATATTATGTCCTATTGCGTTTTAAGCCTAAAAATATTTATACAACCATGTTTTTTAAATGATCTTTCCAGATTTTATGAATGAATATGGATTTGATGGTTTTGATCTGGATTGGGAATATCCAGGAGCAGCAGATCGTGGTGGAAAGTTCTCCGACAAGGACGTTTTCCTTTACTTTGTGCAGGAGCTGCGCAGAGCCTTTGAGAAGGAAGGAAAAGGTTGGGAAATTACAATGGCGGTGCCTGTTGCTAAGTTCAGGCTGGACGAAGGATATCACGTGCCAGAACTTTGCGAGTAAGTAAAATTTGAAATTTAATCAATTATTTTTAAACCAATCAATACGATATTATATTAATCCATCTTTACTGTTTTTACTGTTTTTACATTTCACTGTGAATTAATTTTGCTATGTCGTTATGTCTGTCCAAATACTCCCTGGGAGCTATACTGCTGCAGCCACTACTTATATGTTGTATTGTCTCTATTTGTTTATTGCACACTCGACACAATTCGGATGTTACGTTTTGTTTCAATATATGTTTAGCATAGTTTCGAGTAGGAATTACTTGGTTCTGGATAGCATGAATAAACCCTTCTGTCTCGCGGTCTAGTATTCCCTTCGCCATATATTTTCCGGTGTTTTTATGATCTACCTGGTCTCCTGTCAGAGCTGCATGAAATCTGCCGTGCAATACTTTAGATCGCCATTCGTCAACATGTCTTTTATTTACATTGGTTGAGATATCGTCTTCAGATGGTTCCGATAAGTTTAATGCTGTAAAGTGTTTGTAAACTTGAGATATACACCGATACAAGGAATGTTGGTGCTTTTTAAAGTGCCGCCTGAGTTTATTCATTTGTACTTCGTACGCGTCTTCTAAGTTAAGTAGACCTCTAACCCCTTGATTTCTAGATATATATAGTCTCGATGTCGACGATTTTGGATGATGACTTCGGTAATCAGTAAGTGTGGTACGTATTAGGCGATCGAGTGTTTGCATATCTGTTTTTGACCACTTGAGAACTCCAAAGGATGCAGTTATAACGGGTAAAACCCAGCAGTTAATCGCTGTTATGGTATTCCTTCCATTATGTTGTGTACTTAATATTGCTTTGAGTCTTTGTTTAAGTCTAGCTTTAAGGTCATCTTTCATTTCTGCTGTTTAAATATTTAGGGCTTGCTTGAATCCTAGATATTTATAACTTTCTTCTTCTTTCAGATGCTCAATCGTTGTTCCATCGGATAGTAATGTTCCCCCTTTGTTGTCTACCTTGCCCTTTTTTACATTAAGAACTGCACATTTTTCTAGACCGAATTCCATTTTTATAGTCTTACTAAAATTTTTAACTATTTCAAGTTCGCTTTTAAGTTGTTCACTATTAATGTCGCATAACTTGAGGTCATCCATATAGAACCAATGCGATAGCTTTTCACCTTGTGTTCCAGCGATTCGGTATCCATATGGGCTGCAGTTTACTTAAGGGATCCAAGGCTAAGCAGAACCACAATGGACTCAAACTATCGCCTTGAAATATTCCTCGCTTGATTTCTACTTCATTTGTGATGTATCCGTTATTAGAATTTCCTATTTGGAGTTTTGTTTTCCATGAGGTCATTACATGCCTGAGTAATCTAATAGTATATGGGTCAATCTTGTGTAAATGTAAAATTGCTTCAAGCCATGAATGAGGAACCGAATCAAATGCTTTGCGATAATCCACCCAAGCTACTGAGATATTTCTTTGTTTTGTTCTTGCTAGATTGGTAATTATAGAGTCGATGACTAGCAGTTCTTTTGTTCCCTGTGATTTTTTCTTGCACCCATTTTGTTCGACAGCTAGTAAGTTATTCTTGGTGATATGATTACTAATCTTGTTTGTTATGATTGACGTAAAAAGCTTGTACAGGGTTGGAAGGCATTTAACTGGTCGGTAGTTCTGCGGTGCATTGGGTTCACCATTTTTATAGATCATGGTAGTTATACCCTCTGATAAAAACTTTGGCATAATCTCTGGGTTTTCAATAATTTCCTGGAATTGTTCAGCAAGTAATTTGTGTATAGCGCCGAAGTTTTTCCACCAGTAGTTTTGAATCTTTTCGTGTCCTGGCGCTTTCCAATTAGATGTTCTATTAGCAGCCTCCTTTACATCCTCTTTGCTGATCTTAATTTTTTGCATTTCTGTAAGATGATCTAGTTTGGTTTGCTCTTGCTTTATCCACTGGGCTTGTTGTTCATGTTGTGTGGATACTGACCAGATGTTTCTCCAATATTGAAGTAGCTCGTTCTTTTCAGGGAGTTTTTTAGGTATTTCTTCGTTAGACTTGTCTAGTAGTCTATAGAACAATCCTTGATTTTGGCTAAATGTTTTATTTTCTTTAAATTTCATATTACGCCCGTTGTATTTTCGTATTCTAGCTCCCCATACTGCTATTTTTTGTTTGTGTCTGTCCGAGTAACTAGCAAGTTTTGTGCGGTAAGTGGGATCCTTTGTACTAATATTTGCTCTTTTAGCTATACTTCTTATATTACTTTTCAATTTATTACTATATGGTCCGGCAGTCTTTAGAAAACTCGATAATTGACCTATGATTTTTTAGAGTTATTTATTTTCCTTACAAGCCTTTCTTTCCAAGGGGGAATGGATTTTTGATTTTTAACTGATATTTTTGTTTCCTTTTTAACGGGTAATGTTAAATGTACTACAGTCATAGCTGCACAGTATATTAGATGATGGCTGTCAGATATAGTGCGGCAGTTCTCAAACTCATCTATCAGTACCGAATTTATTTTATCGACAACAGATTTAGTTTCGGATGAGTATTGTATTCTTGGAATAGCTGGCTTAGCCTAGGGTGCTAGACCTTTATATTGGAGAAGTTTCTCATGGAGTAGTGACTTGACTTCCTCTTTTAAGGCATTATTGTCGTTTTCAGGATCATTTATATTAATATTATTGATGGGTTCGGCTTCTTCTACTACATTATCGTCCATTTCCAAGTCATTAAGATTATTTTCCTCTTCTTCTAACGTAGATAAGCTATTGGCGACTTCCTTTTTTAGGTTCTCCAGCTCTGCTGCTGATACAGCTTTCCTCTTTAAGATAGATCTCACTTGGTCTGATAATCTTTGTGTATTAATCTCCATGTTCAAATATTTTTCATTCCATAATTTAGATAGTGTGTCTCTATACATAGTTTTTACTGTCTCGTTTCTTGTTATTATTATTATTATTATGGTATAATATAGAGTAAGAAACGCTCTTTTAAACGAGCCCTCGTTTGTTGGGTTCTGATCATCCAGTCCGGAGTTATTAACATTTAAATTAAGATAGATCTAACCTTCCCCCACCACTTTATTTTAGCAGATAGGGGAAAATGGTTCTAACAAAAAAAAATCGAAAATTTACTGAAGATTATGAAGCTATTATTTATAGTACCCATTATCTAGGCAAAATTCTGTAAAAAATCTCTTTTCTTATTTTCCATAGCAGTTGCGCCACCTAGCGGCCGTTTTACAAACTTGAAAATAATTTCCAGCAATTTCTCATAGCCCCTTTAGTTACAAATATTTGTTTCCGTAAGCCCTACGGCTAATACTTTCCGAGATACAGCCGAGAGCTATTTTTAGTGGGACACCCGGTACTCAGGAGACTGAGTTCTTTCAAAAAAATGCAGGTCCGTATTTAAAAAAAATTAAGTTGGCCTCTGTATCTCGCAAATTATCAGCTAATTTGAAAATCTAAAAATACTATCAGATAGACCTAATAAAGTGGCTATGAGAATATGTAATTAGTTTTTTGATTTTCTAAAAAGTAACGACAGGAAAAAAAAATTTTAAAAAACCAACTCAATCCTTGAAATTTTTAAAACTTTTTTGATGGTATCTTGGTGAACATTCCAAAGCACAACTTTGCCCCAATTTACTACGGGTTTTTTTAATTAAATGTGAGAAAAAATCTACTAAAATTAATACAAAAAAAAATATTTGGCATTTGAAATTGTTTTTCAATGCTCTTTCACTGTAGTGTTTCAAAAAAGTCTGATCGAGAATTTTAAATTTTTCTTATCTCCAATTTTACATTTTTTAAGCTCCCTGTATATTAAAATTTATATTTCGCAACTTCAGTCATATTTAAATAACCAACAAAAAAAGTTACGAAGGGTAATTTTTTATTCGAAAAATCGAAAATAAACAAGTTTACAAGTATAGTTAAGACAATCCGTGGACACACTGTATATCTATTCGTATAATAGAACTGTACCTTAATCTTAATCTAACAGTCCTTGTGCTCCGTATTAATTCCTCTAATGATCTCTTTGTTTCGAGCAATAATTAAATAGGAAACGGCTTAGCTGTACGATTCCCGATTCCAATTCTCTCTCTCTCTCTTCCAGGATCCTGGATGCCATTCACGTGATGACGTACGATTTGAGAGGTAATTGGGCCGGATTCGCAGATACGCACAGCGCGCTGTACAAAAGGCCTCACGATCAATGGGCTTACGAGAAGCTCAATGTGGTAAGTTATGGCTAATTATTTCATTATCGCAATTATTAATATGCTTATCGGGGATTTATTAACTGGTAGAGAAAAGTAACCATATATTTTACACTCACCGGCACGAAAAACGATCACCTTAAATTTTTCTTGTATAGTAATCGCAAAATATTTTCCAATGCACGTCATCAATCATCTATACTAATATATAAAATCCTTAAGTGACTGACATACTGATTAATCACGATCCTGCTCAAACCACTCAACGTAAGAAGCTCAATTTTGGCATACAGGTTGATTCTTGGGTGTAGAGGTTCGATAAGAAGGGATTTTTCGAAATTCCAGTTCCAAGAGGGTGAAACCACCCCTCAAATATTACAATATTTTTTATTTAAAAAACGGTCAAGTTTCCGAAAAAAACGCTTAAACACGTATATTTTATTTTGTTTTTTTACATATTTTAAATTATTTTTAAAATGTATACAGAGTGTTTCGAAAAATCTGGTCATTGATTAATCACGATCCTGCTTAAAGCGCTTGACGTAAAAAGCTGATTTTTGGAAAACAGATTGACTTTAGGGTGTAGAGGTTCGATAAGAGGGGATTTTTTGAAACTTGAATTCTAAGGGGATGAAATTATCCCTCAAATATTAAAATAATTTTTATTTAAAAACCGGTGAGTTTTTCGGAAAAACTCTTAAATATGTATATTTTATTTTGTTGTTTTACATATTTTAAGATTATTTATAAATTTATACAGGGTGTTTCATAAAATATGACCATTGAGTAATCACGATTCTGCTTAAACTGCTTGACGTTTAAAACTGATTTTTGGCAAACGGATTGACTGTGGGGTGTAGAGGTTCGACAAGGAGGGGTTTCTCGAATTTCAAATTCCAAGCGAGTGAAAACGACCCTCAAATATTACAATATTTGTTATTTAAAAAACGCTTAGCCTTACGGGAAAACGCTTGGACAAGCATAATTTATTTGGTTTTTTACATGTTTTGAAGTTTTTTAAAAAATCATACAGGGTGTTCCAAAAAGTTGGGTAATTTCTTAACCACGATTCTGCTTAAACTGCTTGACGTAAAAAGCCTATTTTCAAATTCCAACGAGATGAAACTACCCCTCAAATATTACCAAGTTATATAATAATATCGCCATATTGTTTTTTTCTCATGCTGACATAAATGTTAGAAGATTTTATCCAGTTTGTATGTTAATGGAAATTCTTGTTTTGCTTTATCATCACCATTACAAATGATTAATTCGACACGAATGAAGTCACTGGTACACGCTAAGGCATGGTTTTAACGTAAAAAATACGAAAAAATATGTCTTCTTCAAATATGTCTTCTTCAAAAAAAAATGTCTTCTTCAAAAAAGAATATTTCCAAAAAAAATAAACCTATTGAGATTAATCAAAAACAAACTATCGAGAAAAAATACACCTAGATGATAAAATAATTCTAAAATTCTTTGCTTCGTTAATGTACTCCAGAGGGTGTTTCGAACTTTCTTCATAATATCAACATTTATTTAGTTTTCCCTCGTATAATTGACATATGGCAACTTTCATTTGTAATTTTGTAATATTAGAAAGATATACTAACCCCCCCCCCCCAAGTCAGTTCACTAGAACACAATATATAAAACTTTAAAATACATACATGAAAATTTTAAGGTGCACGTTTTTCCTATAAATAATATAAAATAAATCAGTTTGTTTATTAAAATTTTAATATCAATTATTAAATACGTATCTTCCGTTAAAAGCAAATATGTACCTGTTTACGGTGTGCCATGTTTTTAAAATTTCACACCAATGCATGTAGGCTTTTCATATTTATTTTTATTTATAGAAAGCAATATTACATATCGACAAATACTTAGTATTGGCGTTGGATTGAAAACAAATATTTTTTCGTTTAAATTTGCGAATTGAAATATATTTTTCATTAAATAGTTTGCTATTAACTTTTATTAACCGCATGAAAGTTTATCAGAAACAATATTCATTTTAAAATTTATAAAATATAGAAAATAATATTTTTAGGTTTGTCAATCCCTCGATAATACTTTTTTTTAACTTTAGCTTCATTCCATAAAGAAAATTCTAGCAAAAAACGCAAATTTTTGAAATCCTTATTCAGTAACAACATTTTCATTGAATAGTGACATATGTTTTAATAATTATAGATACTTTTGAATAAAAAGATTAGGAAAGGAGCATATAAAAAATCTTAGATCAAACGGGAGGGGCTCTTAAAATGTGCCGTTCTAATTTTATTCAAAACGTGTAAAAATATGATGTAGGATAGATTCATTAATTTGTTGTTTTATCTTACATTATCAATATATGTTGGTAATTATTAAAATTGTTTTAAAAATATATAATTTTAATAAAAATAGATAAGTTATAATAATTTATTTATTAACACAAACATCCGATACGCTACTGAAGCAGGTAAGTTAAATTGACGTATCTAAATTCTTTGACATCTAATCTTTAACAAGTGGAAAATAAAAACAAAAATGCAAGAAAAAATATATAATTAGTTAATTTTAAGTGAATTTCATAAATGATCGGGTTACTACACGTATGTATATTATACCGGGTGTTGCATCGTCGGACGGGACATAGGGAATCCCATGTAAATTTTAATTGGGTCAATTATTGGCTTCCCTAATTATTTTAGAGAATAATTCTATTTAGGTTTATTGAAGAGCACTAATACCCACATTCAAAAGAATAACTTTAGATATTTTTTATTAGCTCGTTTACGAGTTATCGCCGATTTCTTTTTAAATATTTCTCCTTTCTTATGGCCCTGTATTTACTTATTAGCACCAGTCAAGGTAAAAGATAACTCTCAAATGAAGTTGTCATTTCAGAAATTTACCTATTTAGTGTTTTATTATTATTGAAAACTCATTCCGACATCGGAAATCTTAAAGATGTATTTATAAATACAAATTAATATGAACTAAAGTAAAATAAAATAATTAATTACAACGTTAATTATAGTATTATTACAATATTCAATAACTTGTTAATTTAGGTACAATTAAATTGTTAGAACTTTAGGATTTAAGAAGATGTTCAAATATTCCTCCATCGACTGCTAGACAATAACCCAGGCGATCATAAAATTCTCTTCTTACATTCGCTAGTTGGTAAACTGAAATTCTATTGTATTCGGCAGAAATAGCATTTTTTAACTCGTCTAGATTTGGGTATTGTTTATCCTTTATATCCTGTTTTTTAAATGGCCCCAGAGAAAGAAATCATTTGGCGAAATATCAGGAGACCTTGCTGGTCAATTTACTGTATGATTTACGAACAGCCAGGGTACTATGTGCCGGGCAGCCATCCATTTGGTACCAAGCTTCCTGATTTTCCCTAGCGGCATCATGTAAAGCAGGTAAAATATGATTTTCGAGTAGTTCCAAATAATATTCTGCATTTAAATTTCGCGTAAGAAATAATGGCCTGATAATATTGTGTCCGAATATCCCTGCCCAAACATTTACTTTCTGTGGGTATTGCGTCCTTGTTTCGACAAACCGTTGGTTTTCTTTGTTCCAATATCGATAATTTTGAACATTGAATTCATTATTTAAGGTAAACGTGCATTCATCAGTGAAACATATGTTTTTTAAAAATTCCCTATCCGTGTTTTCTCTTTCCATCATATCAAAACAAAAGGCCTGCCGCCGTATTTCGTCCCCATCTCGTAGCTCTTGGTGCTTTTCATATTTGAAGGAATAGTATTTATGTCGTTTCAAAATTCGAAACGCTGTAGTCTGATCTATTCCTATTTCATCCTCAAGTTTCCTTGTGCTGATCTTTCCATCGTTCTCTTCCACGCACAATAAAACTTCCAAGTCGGTATCATTTCTTGCATCTTCTCTCTGTTCCTGCCTTGCTTCACATCTGCAGTTATTTATTAGGGTACCTTTGGTTTCAAATCTCTGGCTATTCCTTGCGATTGTAGATTTTCCAGGTATCGGTCTATTCGGTTACGAGCAGCAAACATGGCCGACACCTTTTTGATAACTATTTTCTTGATAATACCATTTAATCATCAATACTTTTTCTTCGGTAGTGAAATTCATGGCTAATATTTTCGATGTAGGTATGAGTTTTTAATAATAATAATAAAGCACTAAATAGATAAATTTTTGAAATAACAACTTCATTTGACAGTTATCTTTTACCTTGACAGGTGCTCATAAGTAAATACAGGGACATAAGAAAGGAGAAATATTTAAAAAGAAATCGGCGATAACTCGTAAACGGGCTAATCAAAGTGGCTAATCAAGTGGCGACACTAGCCATCTTGATTGCCATTTTATTGAAAAATCGCTTTTTATTCAAAATCTGGGCCAGATAGGTATAGGAAACCCTAATAAAGTTTGAAAGAGCATTTAAATCTGCTTCGACTTATTTAAAAAAATACATAGTGTTGTATTTGAAGTAACGCAGTTTTTATGTAAAATAAATATTTAAAATAGACCAGCAATTTTTGATAAGTATGCTAAATACCTTAATCTTAGTAAAATTCAAAGAATTATACTAAATATGGTCTCATTTTTACATCACTTTACCCTACTTCTTTTAGTTACCAGCCATGTTATATGTTTAATTTCCTTTTGTTAGAATGATGGTTTACTTTTATGGGTTAATTATGGTTGTTCGCCCAAAAAGCTAGTTGTTGGAGTGCCTTTCTATGGAAGAAGCTTTACCCTTAGCCAAGGAAACAACAACTACAATTTGGGAACTTATATCAACAAAGAAGCTGGTGGTGGTGAGCCAGGACCTTACACAAATGCCACTGGAATGTTGGCATATTATGAGGTAAAATTAAAAGAATATTTCGGTTTATTATTAATCAATATTTTAGTATACAGGGTGTCCCAGCCCGAGCGTGCATTAGAAGTTTCTAGAGAACCACAACATCTAGCTAGATTTTTTGCACATCATAGTTTCACAACGAGATTTTTGTTGCACATCATAGTTTCACGAACAAGTTGACAGCAACTGTCTTATTTTAAATAGGTGCCCCCCATTTTTTATTACATACTTAAATTCTCTGTAAAATTTTATGAATTTTGATATTAATTTTTTTTTTGATTAGTAATTCTGCTTAAACTGCTTGACGTTTAAAGCTGATTTTTGGCAAACGGATTGACTGTGGGGTGTAGAGGTTCGATAAGGAGGGGGTTTCTCGAATCTCAAATTCCAAGAGGGTGAAAATGCCTCTCAAATATTACAATATTTGTTATTTAAAAAACGGTTAGTCTTTCGGGAAAATGCTTGGATAAGCATAATTTATTTTTATTTTTACATATTTTGAAATTTTTTAAAAAATCCTACAGGGTGTTCCAAAAAGTTGGGTAATTTCTTAACCACGATTCTGCTTAAACGTCAAGCAGTTTAAAGCTTATTTTTGGCAAACGGATTTTTCGAAAGTCAAATTCCAACGAGATGAAACTACCCATCAAATATTACCAAGTTAGATAATAATATCGCCATATTGTTTTTTCTCATGCTGACATAAATGTGAGAAAATTTTATCCAGTTTGTATGTTAATGAAAATTCTTTTTTTTTTGGACGCGAACGAAGTCGCTGGTACACGCTAGTGTTAGATATAGAGTGTTTAATGTAAAAATTCATAAAATTTTACAGAGAATTTAACGGTGTAATAAAAAATGGGGGCACCCATTTAAAATAAGAAAGTTTTTGTCAACTTCCGGTATTTCCGAAAGTGCCGTCATATTGAAAATATTTTTAATCGACAGATCTGATTGTGAAACAATGATGTGCAAAAAATCTCCGATTTAGATATTGTAGTTCTCTAATGCACGGTCACCTTGGGACACCATGCATACTTATTATTGTATTTCTTATGAATTTAAACTATTTTTTTTTTGTAATTGAATATCTGTAATATTTTAAAGTAATTTGGTTGCATAAGCATGTATAACTGTTTAGATTTGTGCTGAAGTTGATAACAAAGAAGGAGGTTGGACAAAAAAATGGGACGAACATGGATTGGTGCCATACGCCTACAAAGGTAAAAAACATTATTTTTATATTAAAAAAGCAATTTTTTTATTTGGTATAATTTCCTATTTGGACATCGCCCTGTAAAACACTTATAAGTTCTTAGTTTTGTATTTCATCAATGTTTCGCTCAATATATATTATCATCTTTATCAGTACTCAATTATTTATATGGACGGCTGGGGAATGATAATCGATGATAATTTTGACGAGGTCAAGCCCTAGACGTCATTTAATAAAAGGCCCGTGTTCTTCTTTATTATTTAAACTGGCCTTAAGGTTGTAATTTAATTTTATGTTGAGTAAAAATGTAAAAAATAAAAATGTTTTTTGAAAATGGATTTATATTCTGGAAACCTTCTATTCTTTTTCACTTTTTATAAATACTTTTCACTTTTTTAATAAGAATATTATTAGTGATAATTTTTATTATTTATTTATTCATATTATATTTAACAATATAAAAAATATCACATGGTTATATAGATACTAAATTTAATTTTTAACATTATTTGTAGGAACCCAATGGGTTGGTTACGAAGACCCAGAAAGCATTCAGATCAAAATGGACTTCATTAAATCTAAAGGATATGGTGGTGCTATGGTATGGGCAATCGACTTGGACGACTTCAGAGGAATATGTGGACCTAAAAACGTTCTTCTACACATTCTACACGCCAACATGAAGGGATATTCCGTTCCAGAGCCCACCATTTCGACAACACCAAGGGTATGAAAGATCATATATAATTTTAAAAAATAATTATTAATATATTATTATTTGATATCAATTAAAAATTGAAAAAAAATTCCCTGCAAAATCGAGTTTTCTTCACTTATTTCGATTTGAAAGATTTTTATTAGTTAAATTTTTTAGTATCCCAGATTGTCAAAAAAGTGCATACAGGGTGAGAAAGAAAAATAAAAACAGATTTTTTCATTTTCGGGAATTTTTTTAAAATACAACATAACCTAATAGTGTAAGAGCTAGCAACGTTTTCGAGAAAATATTTTAAGACGTCTGGCTCTTTGATATATCTTTTACTATGCTCTCTGGAACATCATGTCATCATGTCTGGCTACCGATACCCGTTGCGTTCACTACTACGCATCGGAAGAGGATCCTATATTTTTTATTAATTTAGTCCTATAAATTCTAGTATTGAATATAAATCGAACATGTCTCCATAGCGCAGTGCGTAGAGTTTCCGACCACGAACCGATGATACAGAGTTCGAATTCGGGTCAGGTCAAAGACTTTTTTATTTTATTTTCATTTATATTCTCATAGTAAAGTATTAAATAATTCTGGTAATTAAAAAAAAACAAATATTGGTGCAGCCCGACAGTCCTGCACCATCTCTCAGTGATGCGGAGTCCTCTTTGGATAATATCACACAGGGTGCCTTCATGTTTCCCCCGTGCAATCATGACTATGTCATCTGCATACCCTATGCAGTGTATTCCCGCTAGAGTTAATTCTTCCAGTAGTTAATCCACTACCAAGCTCCACAGTAGGGGGGAGGTCACTTCATCTTGTGGAGTTCCTTGCGTTGTTTTAACAACTACAGTTTTGGTACCTATCTCAGCTTCTGCTGTTCGTGTTGAGCATTTCCCAAAACCATCGAATTATCATATTGTTCACCCCTCTTGTTTCAAGAGATCGCTTGACCACCTTGTGAGGTATATTGTCAAACGCCTCTGCAATGTCCACGAAGGCACAAAGTGCTGTTTCTTTGCTATCCAGGCTTGCCTGTATTAGCTCAGTTAACTGGTACTGAGCAGTTTCTGTGGATCTGCCCGCTCTATATGCATGCTAACTATCGTGCAGTGGTTTAACCTTTAGATGATTTACTCTAATATGGTTGTCCACTACTTTGTCCATCGTTTTTAATATGAACGATGTGAGACTAATAGGCCTAAATGATTTGGGGTTAGCCCAGTCAGTTTTGCCTATTTTGGGTATGAAGATTACTTTCGCTCTTCTCCAGATGGTTGGTATATATCCCATCGCTAAGCTTCTTCTTGTAATGTTTAATAGATGGTGTGTAGCTATTTCCTGACTCCCAGGAAAAATCCCATCTATTCCTGCTGTTTTATAAGGCTGACAGGTGTCAATAGCCCATTTCAGTTTTTGTTCTATAATTACTAGCTTCACCATCTCCCAGTCTTCCCTGTGAGGATTGTGGGGTTCGGTCGGAGCTACTTGCGTATCAATAGATATGCTACCTGGAAAGCGTGTATGAAGTAGGAGGTTGGCTCTCTCTTCATCTCCTTCCGTTAGCTTCCGTCAGGTTTCTTAAGTGCCATGTTGGGGATGGGCCCACTCTTGGCCATAGCTTTGTGTAGTCTAGCTGCATAAGTAGTTGAAGTGATGTTTTCGCAAAAGGATCTGAAGTCAGACCGTTTTGCCCTTCTAATCTCCTTATTATACTCAGTTTAATTTCTCGGTGTAGAGCTGCCATTCGCCGCTGTGTTTGGCTCTGTTGAAGAGTCGTCGGACCTCCGACCTAAGATTGGCCAGCTTCTTGTTCCACCAGGGCTTGTTGTTACTTTTTTGTATGCCCTTACTTGTGGGGCAACTAGATCCATATGCATCCAATATTGCACCACTGACTTCCCTTGCGTACCATTCTAGATACAGGTGGTTCCTAGCCCTACCTGCATCTATTTGGTCCAGGTTCTCTACGAGATTGGTATGGTATAGTTCCCAATCGGTTCTTCTTGGATTCCTTCGAGTTTCCCTTTGGAGTATGATTCCTCCTAATTTGAACTCGATGATTCTGTGATCTGATAGGGAAGGTTCCGTTGAGACCCTCCAATCTTTCACGTAACTAGTTACACTATCACTCCCTATTGTTAAGTCTAATACTTCCGCCCGCGTTTTGTCACAAACGTGGGAGTGTTCCCTATATTGAGAACTTCAAGATTGAACGCTAAGAGGAATTCTAGTAAACACTCACCTCTAGTGTTTGTATTAGTGCTTCCCCATACCTCATTGTGCGTATTGGAGTCACATCCCAATAGCAGAGGTAGTCGCCGTTGGCTGCAGAATCGCACGAGCTTCACTACTTCTGGAGGCGGTGTCTGCCATCACCCGGAAAGTATGCAGAGGCAATCACGATATTTTTGCTACAATCCTCGATATTTAGTTGAACCATGATTGGAACAAGATCTCGGGTTGTAAATTCTGAAACACATGTGTAGTTAATGTTGTTTCTTATAAGAATACCAGCTCGGGGAAATTCCTGCTTGTTATCATATATTACACTGGAATTTTTTCCAGACAACCCCTTAATTTGTCCCTGATACACCCAGGGTTCCTGGGCTAGTACCATTGCATGTTGGTTTTTCTCAAAGAGTCTTGTGATTGTGGCAGAAGACCCTTTTGCATGGTGCAAGTTTATCTGGGATATCCCATGCATCATGTTTCTATCGAACCAAACTAAGCGGTAGCTTGTGTCGCTTGTTGGGTCTAGAGGTAGACTCCCGACCCTTACTAAAGGATGTGATAGCTTGTGTACCACTTGTGGAGGCTAGCCTCGCACAGGTGTCGGCCGCCTCTCCTGTAGTTCCCTTTGGGGTTGGTCCCTTGGAACTTTCATTCATAATGTTCCCAGTGTTATTAGAAGGTTTCCCCACAGCTTCACCGGTGGTGTTATTATGACTGTCCGATCTCATAGTGTTCCCACGAGTCGCTAGGGATAGTCGGTCCACTTCTACAGAGCTCCGCATGTAGAAGTAAGGGGTAAATACAATGGGGTGCCCCCTGATGCCCCAAGGTTGAGACTAGTAAAGGCTAGTCATCTATCTAGCCACGCATCCCTTTGACCTGGTCCCGCCATCGTAGGATATAGGTTTTTGGTGAGGTTGTCTCCTCTTGGTCCGGGCGGTTAAGCCAAGACCCCCCCCCACACCCTCTACCCGCGAGACTTGACCACAGTCAGTAGAGGGTGCCTAGTATGACGGACAGGGGTAGCCCCGTCCGGCATCGTTATATGTCTTCGCGCAATTCCCTGGCCACGACACTACAGCTAGGGACAAGACGATGAGTGAGATGCTTCTTAGACCTTACCAGGAGCTTCCCCACCAACGACAAGGTCTTGCATCTCCTGGGGAAGTACTCGTGTACCTTACAATATTTTTAGTGTCAAGATATCACCCTTTCCATTGGCCGCCCCCACTTTAAGCCCCGGGATCGCGCTGCCAGACATGACTATTTCACAATGGCTACACAAAAGGATACTTCACACAAAAAATTAGTCATGTAACGATGATAAAGTTTTTTATGTAGCCAGCTCTCGGTCTATTATACCCCGCTGGCAAGCGAACCTTTAGGTCGGCGTTTACATGTATAGGAGTGAGTCGTTATGGCAATCTAGTAAGTCGGAGTGAGCAAAAATACGAAGTATTTGTTACATAACTACTTAATCTGACGCTAGATTCCATGCGCTTGGGAAAATGCTCGCCTTCTGTCTCTATTCAGTACATCTTATTTTACTAAGCGTGTTGACCGTACTCCGTCTTCGTACACATGAAAACCGGCACCCAAGTCCAGAAATGCCGACCCTTAGTATGAATTCAGTAAGAAATAACAAAATATAATCTGATTTGACTATGTTAACATTACATAGCACAGAAATTTTAATTTAAAACAATAGGAAACTATATTATTTAGATTTCACTAGCCAGGTAAAGACAAAAAGAATAAAATATGGAGTTACAAAGTTTGGTTCTGTGAACTTCACCAGTAATAATTTTAAGCAGCTTAAAGTTTGGGCAAACTCAATGAATACACATCTCTACATTAATGTAATTTCTGGTCTAAATTTTAAGCAAATTATTATAAGAAGTTTTCTACAAAAATCGTATTTATTCGCGGAGATAATATTTTAAAATATTTTTACTTTTCTATTAAAAAAACAGAATTCTTATTCATAAATTAATGAGCGAATTAATGATACGCCACTGTTTCATGACAAAATTGAAGAAACTAAACTAAAACTAGTTTTAGTTTACCCTAATCGACATTTGATTTCGAAAAATCGACTATACATACATATATATATATAGGGATCATATTTTACGCAAAATTGTAAAATTTCCAGGGATTTTATGCCTAAACGGTTGACTTTAGCAAAAAAAAATTATAAAACTTTTTTTATAGAAAACTTTATTCTCTTTGATTTTGCTCTCTTCAAATTTTTGCAGAAAACGCATAGTTTTCGAGATATTTACAAAATACCGATTTTGGGCGCCATCTTGGCAAGATGGCGGCGGCGGCAAGTCTGGAAATGTGCATTTTATGGATTTTAGTTATGGAAGTTTCAAAACTTCCGGACTTTTTTCCAAGCAAAAATCGCCAATGACTGAACTATTTCTATATTTTTCTTTTTGAATTATTATATTAACTTATTTATTTTCATAATATTTTTTTTCGATTTTTTATGTATATTTAATTTATTTTTGTTTCTTCTCTATATATTCATTTTTGGCCAGAGAATAATTATGGAGATAAATAAATTCCAGAGCACGTTTGACTTGTTCATTAGACGGAGATAATAATTAAATCGTTTTGTTTGACTTTGCGAAGTCTAATTTTAGACTGTTTTTCATTGGTGGGTGTATAAATATATTATTAACTTTTATTAAAACAACAAACACAATAAATGTTATAAAATAAAGTTGGGTTAGCTGAAAAGATTAAAACTTTTTAATTGACTACAGACTCATATGAGATATAGGTATATTATTTATTTGATGGATAAAAATTTTAAATTTTAGTTTTTTAATGTTTATCTTATAACAATAGCTGGTAAATAAGGAATTTTATATCGCTAAAACATAAATAAATTATAAAAAACTGGAAAATAACACTTTTTTGAAATATTTTGGAAATATATTCGCGTAAAAATCTTTCTCTCTAGTAGCATGTATACACGAAAGGCTAGTAGTTAATAGTCATCTCATATAAAGTTTTTTTGGAAGAGTTGGTCAGTTGGTCACCCTGGAGGGGAGCAAAAATCTGAAGTAGATAACCTGACGTAGTACAGTATGTCCCCGGACTGTCTTTACAAAAGGAACAAATTTATTTTAAATGCTGTAGTTTAAATTTCGAGAAAAAATAATTTTTAAAAATAGATTTGTTTGTCTGGAAACTTATATCGTTATTGTAAACGTATAACTCTTATCTTTTCTAATTTTTCTACAATTAGTCTTAATTTTGAAAAACTGGGATACATCAATAGGAATTAGTTGTTTTAGTGGCTTTTCTATATTTTTCTTTTTAAATTATATTAACTTATTTATTTTCATAATATTTTTTTCGACTTTTCATGTATATTTAACTTATTTTTGTTTCTTCTCTATTATATCATTTTTGGCCAGAGAATAATTATGGAGAAAAATTAATTCTAGAGCACGTTTGACTTGTTCATTAGACGAAAAAAAATAGAAAGGCGTTTTGATTTGCAGGAAAAATTCAACAATATTTTATGTTTTTCTTAATTTTCTTAAAGTTTGTTTAAGTAGGAACAGTAATCACTGTGTAAAGATAATTTTAATATGTAAATAACTAAACTTTGATTTTTTACAGCCGGAATGGGCTAAACCACCAAGTACCGCCTCCTCAGATGGTTCCAAACCAGTCCAAACCACACCAAAACCAGGCCAGTGGGTTCCAGATGCCTCTACCAGTACCAGTACTACAACTAGACGCTCTACCACTGCATCCAGTACTACCAGCAGTAGTACCACTACTAGTACGAAAGCTCCTGAAGTGAGTTCATCTGCACCTGGAGCCTCCAATGAAATCGACTATCCAACTGATTGTAAGGGAGACTTCATGCCTCATCAAGATTGTACCAAGGTGCGTTTTATCTTTAGTTTATAAAACCTAGTACCACCTAGATTGTATATCAGTCATACCAAACGTCATTCGTATCACCTAACAGTGTAATAAGATTTTTTTCTTCTTCTTCTTTTACTTATTTGAGATCTTTCGATCTGTTAATTTTAAGATTGTCTCTGTAGTAGTTCTTGGGAGATGGACTGCCAACTGTCATTTCAGCTTTTTGGAGGTCTTCCCGGCTGTCTCTTACCCATGGGTTTCCCTTCAAGTTGTTTTCTTCTATGCGTTTTACGTGTGCAAACCATTGTCTTTTTCTTTGCCTACCCCATGTCACTACGTCCTGTATTCCACATTTTTGTCTTATATTTGTGTTTCTAATTCTCTCTCTTCTAGTCTTCCCCATTATGGTTCTTAGGTTCTTCATTTCAGCGACTCCTAACATGCTTTTGGTCTTGTTTGTTCCCTCTCGGATTTCTATGCCATATGCCATATGTCATTATTGGTCCGATGCAGGTCTTACAAATTTTAATTTTGCTGTCTGTTTGCATAAAGGAGTTTGTCCACACTCTTTGTCTCAGACATCTTGACATGGCCGTTGCTCTGTTTATCTGGCTTCTCAGATCTTTCTCTGGATCATGTTAGTGCGACATATCTATTCCTAGGTATCTGAACTGTGATACTTGCTCAATAATTTTGTTTTCTAGTACTAGTTTGCATCTTACCGGCTCTTTAGAGAAAGTTAAGCATTTAGTTTTTTTTTTCTGTGGAGATAATCATATTTAATTCTCGGCTTACTCGATAGAATTTATAAAGCTGTCTCTGCATATCGTCCTCTGTCTCCGCGGTAATGGCTGCATCATCAGCGTAACACACCATGCTAACTCTGTTGTCATCGAAGTCACCTTTTCTATGATGATGTTCATTCAGATCGAATAAGAAGGCACTAACTCATCAGATTGAATAAGAAGGGACTAAAGTTATCTCCTTATCCAATGCCTCCTGGTGTTGGTATGTCTCTTATTAGATTATTACCTGCTTGAATTGTGTTATCGATATTTAGCTTTCTAATGATTTTCACAATATTATCAGGCACTTTTTCTCTTTCAATATATTTATAATGTCAGATAGGCGTACTTTATCGAATGCTTCAGTCAAGTCGATGAAACAGATGTAGGCTGGTGTATTAAACTCTATTGCTTTTTCTTTAATTTGTTTAATGATAAATACGGCGTTTGTAGTTGATCGATTTCGTCTAAAACCTTGTTGTTCGTCCCCTATGCCTAATTTGTTCCTCGAGTTTTCCTTTCAAAATATTAGTGAAGAGTTTCATGGTTGTATTGAAGAGAGTTATAACACCTCTGTAGTTTTTGGGTGTAGTTTTTTGTCCTTTTTTAAATATAGGAATTGTGAAGCTTTTGTGCCATTCTTCAGGAGTTTCTGATGTTTCGAGAATCTTGTTAAATAACAATCTTAGATGTTTTACCAGCTCGGGACCACTAATTTTTTTTTTCTTGTTAATATTTCGGTACGGATGATTGATTGGCCGAATGTCATCAATCATCTGTACCAACATGATGGATTTTGTTAATATTTTATACTATTATTATTTTTTTACAGTACTATCGTTGTGATCATGGAAAATTGACCGAATTCTCTTGTCAATCTGGATTGGTCTACCATACGTCATCGCACATCTGTAATTGGCCGGCAAACGCTGATCGTGAAGAGTGCAAGAAAAAGTGATTTGTTCTAATTATTTATTTTATATATATTTTTAATTTTAAGTTATATTGTACTGAATTTTTTCTATGAAATAAATTATGTATATTATTTTAGAAATATATTTTATTTATACACCTACTCAAGTTAAATAAGTAAGAAATTTCAAAAACAAATTATTGAACTTTTGGCACAAAAACGTTTCAAATTTAATATTTCAGTCTAATAACTATTTAGTCAACATGTTTAATTTATGTCAATAATGACAGGTATTGATAATTTCGATTCAAAATATCTCGAGAACTATTAATCATAGGGATTTTTAAAAAGAGACATTTTTTACGTAAAAAACGTCGTAAATGTATATTCAACAAGTGGGAGTCATATTAACATCAAAATCAAATTTCTTATGTCAAAAAACTTCCAGACACCAATTTTCATCCAGATATTGACGTCTTCTATATTACTTCAGAAATTATTTGGAAAAAATCGAAATAAAAATGATACTTCTACACCCTGTATCTCCGAAACTAAGCGTTTTAGGAGACGTATTTATACAAACTTTTTTAATTATTTTTATCTGCAGAATATGCTGCGGAAGTTTCCGGAATACAGTTTGGACCACCCTGTATATTTCTTAGTACCGTATTTAAAACCATAGAATTATTTTTAATACGTTACTCATTATCTTTATTATTTAACCTTTATGTTTTCCTTTTTTCCGTTCTTAAAATGTAAAAGAATTATAAATTTTACATATAAAATATAATTATTAATATATTTAAAAGAACTTACTTCATTATTTAATTATAATAATTATGTGTAAATAATTATTTATAAGCTACATGAAATTATTGATAATTATAATTATTAGTGTTAATACCATACGACCAAAAAAAAGGCGTCAAAGACGGCTGTAAAATTAAAATCGACGATAATTTTGAATAGTTCAAAATTCAAAAAAATATATATATTTTATAAATAGATTTGTGTGCCTGGAAACGGGGGTTTAATCCTCTTTTATTCTTTTTATTAACATTATTTTTTGACAAGTTTTATGTCTAGAGGTCCACCTCGCCAAAATGATCATCAATTGTCATTGCCCAGTCGACTTTGACGCCGTTTTTTCTCGATCATACGGTATTTCCTACATTGATTTCGAGCTTTTATTTTAGCACGTTCAAAACTTTATTTTTTTATATGATTATCTCTACTTTAATATCAAGTTTCTGCTTTATAAAAAATCTCTCTCTAATGCATTTTCATCTTACGCTATGCTATAATTCGTTTAAAAAAACTCTGAGAGGTTTAAATTTGCTAAAACTTTATGTTTCATATTCGGAGTCTACTTCCAGCATTATAAAATCAGATAAAATTAGGAGCTCCGTGTGGAAGCTTTCAATACTTAATGGATATTATTATTACTAGGCTTAAGTGAAATCTGAAACGTTATTTTATCCAAGAAGATTTTAAAATTTATTTTTTTTTAATATTAGATTAGATTTTTTTTTAGAATGAGTGGGAGGGGGGTTAATCACTGCGACCTTACAGATCCATTGTGTCCCCCTTTCTTGAGTGATAACTCATCAAACAGTCCCAGGGCTTTGAAAAAATCCAGTATCTGGGACGGTTTTATAGAGGATAGTTCTCCATCTCCAATATCAGTCGTACCAAAATTCATGGCACGAATGGTTGTCGTCTCGGCGCCTTCAGTGATGAGGTGTACTGGTGTTTCCCCATCTTCCCCACAGAATCTGCATTCGCCGTTTCTTCTTAGTTTCAATCTACTGAGGTGTTCATTGAAGAGACAGTGTCCTGTTAAAAACCCCGTGACAATCCGAAGATTGTTCTTACTTAAACCCAGGAAGATCTGTGATTTTTCTTGATCATAAGCCCTCAGAAACTTCTTCGAGTGTCTTAGACCGTTGCAAGATTTCCATTCCAGGTTGCGGATGGAATCTTCCAAGTTCTTGAGTTCCGCCTTGAGTTGGTTACCACTTGGAAAGCAGAACGGTTCTGGTCCAGTTAGTGGAGTGTTCGCTTCTTTCCTAGCTAGATTATTTGCTTTTTTATTGCCTTCTATCCCTTGGTGAGCAGGCACCCAGAGTAGGAGGACTTTGTTTTCTTTGCCTAATTTATTCAGCTTCTCTATGCATTCATTGACCAATTTCAAATTGATTGATACTGAGTTGATCGCTTTTAACGCTGCTTGACTATCAGACAAGATGGCTATTTCTTGTTTCCGATAGTTCCTATCTAAGATAAGTAGTAATATTAGATTAAGATAGATCATGTATTCATGCAAGGTAGACGGACAAAAGGCCCAAGGGTGGGGATCCTTGACAGTTCTGTTTGACGATTCATTTGACACATTTGAATTTAATTTGAAATTTTGTGGATTGCTCAGTCCTTACTGAGCTTATTTTATGTTATTTATTATTTATTCTACTTCTGATAATTGTTTAAAGGTAGTAAATCTAGAAGGAAATTGTAGCAGAACTTAAATTAACAGTGACACTATTGCGATTTATCGAAAAAGACTAAAATAGTTGGCTGTGTAGCGTGAGGTAGATCTCGGTCAAAAATCGAGGGAATAATGGAATAACTTTTCGCCTGTAAGTGACTATACAGGGTGTCATTGAAATGGTGTAAAAAAGTGCCCCTAACTCCCTTAATATGCATTTTCCGCCCTATACTGATAGGAACTTTTTTTACTATTTTTAGGAGTACTATCACCCCGCGATTTTTTTTTACACCATTTCAATGACACCCTGTATAATATACATACGTGTAGTAAACCGATCATTTATGAAATTCACTTAAAATTAACTGTTTATACATATAGTTTCTTTCATTTTTGCTTTTATTTACTACTTGTAAACATTAGATGTCAAAGAATTACATCAATTTAACTTACCTGCTTCAGTAGGGTATCGAATGTTTGTGTTAATAAATAATTACTATACCTTATTTATTTTTATTGGAATTATATATTTTTATAACAATTTTAATAACTACCAACCTTTATTGACAACGTAAAATAAAACATCAAATTACTGAGCCTAGCCGACATCATATTTTTACACGTTTTGAATAAAATTAGAACGGCACTGATAAACCGGAATTTAAGTCGGCCATTTTTGGTCCCCATCGTGCTCTACCTAAATTTTTTGATATGCTCCTTAGTTAATCTTTTTATTCAAAGCTTTGAATAAGAAGACTAAGGAAGGAGCATATCAAAAATCTTAGGTACACCGCGATAGGCCTCAAATATGACTGAATATGGCCGACTTAAATTTCGGTTTATCAGTGCCGTTCTAATTTTATTTAAAAAATTTAAAACTATGATGTAGGGTAGACGTGGGGTAGACTCAATAATTTGTTATTTTATTTTACGTTGTGAATAAATATTGGTAGTTATTAATATTGTTATAAAAATATATAATTCTAATAAAAATAGATAAGTTATAATAAGTATTTATTAACACAAACATCCGATACGCTACTGAAGCAGGTAAGTCAAATTAACGTATCAAAATTCTTTGACATCTGATCTTTGACAAGTAGTAAATAAAAGCTAAAATGCAAGAAAAATATATAATTTAGTTAATTTAAGTGATTTTCATAAATGATCGGTTTACTACACGTATGTATATTATATAGTCACTTACTAGCGAAAAGTTGTTCCATTATTTCACTCAATTTTTGCCGAGATCTACCGCACGCTACACAACCAACTATTTTAGAGCCTTTTTCGATAAATCGCGATAGTGTCACTGTTAATTTAAGTTCTGCCACAATTTTCATCTAGATTTACTACCTTTTTACAACTATCAGTAGTAGAATAAATAATAAATATCATAAAATAAGCTCCGTAAAGACTGACAAATCCACAAAATTTCAAATCAAATTCAAATGTGTCAAATGAATCGTCAAACAGAACTGTCAAGGATCCCCACCCTAGAGAGCTTTTTCCGCCCACCATGCATGAATACATGGATAGCATTATGCTCCTTCCTTAGTATTCTTATTCAAAGATTCAAAGCGATATACCAATGTATATGGTAGGTCACTCTTTTTTGAAACATGTCTATGATTTTTTTTCATATTCTTTTATTCTATTTGGTATTAAACCAAAAAGTAAAAAAAAATATGTAAAAAACACGCTAAAGTGGTCTGTGAAGTAAAAAAAGAATAATAAATTTAACGAATAAATGAAAAAAAATAAATATTTAATATAGAAAAATTAACAGGCTTTCGGATCCAAATATATTTCCTACAATAATTGTTTAATAAATAAAATTGCTTATAAATGATCTTAATATTATTTTTAACAATTTAAGTTATATTCACTAAACCACATAATTATAAAGTTTGACCAACAAAAAGTATTAATGATTTTTGAAGAACACGTCAAGGCCCTCCATAACAACGTTTCTTTCAAAATAAGTACCTTAAGATATTTCTGAATTATTTTTGCACTTGTCTGTAGAACTGCAAAAGGGAATTACTCTTGTCAGTTCAAATACCTCTGACGTACAATAATTATAATCTATTTTATTTTCTTCCATAGCAACTGTTAAAATTGTCTTATATCTATCAAAAATAGTAGATAAAATAGTACTTTAACCGCAAGGGTAGATTAAATGATACTTTAACAGGGAGGATAGGTTAAAAACTTTATTTCTTCTAGCACGTTTTTTAATTGCTTTTATTTTAAAAAAATGTTGTATTCCTTTTCATAAGTTATTCGGGATAAAAATGGAAGTAGTTTGGATATGGCTTTTGTCGCTTCAGCCTAAATATCTGTTGGTAATTTACTTATTTCGTTTTGAGCCATTTCTGGCTCCAATTCAATCAGCAATCGACACGAAAGAGAATTAAAACATATTGACTCAAAACTGACAATTAAAGAAACAGCTTTATTTATTTGTCAAATTACATAGAAACCATCGCCAACCCAGCACAATATTTTTTCTACTCGTAATAAATAAATTCCTTGAAATAATAATTTCCGAATAATTTAAAAAAAAATATAGTTTTACATTAATTCACTCGCGATTTCATCGCTAGTGAATTAATCTTTTCGGTCGACGATAAAATATCATTTTATCGTCTTGTATAAAAAATAACTAATACCTACCGTTTTAAGAAAAACAGGGAACATAAACAAACTAAACCTGGTATATTTACTCATCAAAATGTATTTAAACTTTCCAGAGCATGATTAATCTAAATAAAAATATATAAATGTTTCAATAACTTTCTAGGTGAACTTCTCCAAGTCTTAATGAATAATTAATTTTTAGTTTCATATTAGTTTTTTAATTAACTCTTTTTAAAGTTAAAGCCCTATCTACACTTAACGTCTTCCCTGTCAGTTAAAACGTTATGTTTATACATGATTTTCATTAAAACATCTTTAATTAAAATAAAACAACTAAAATATGAGCTTTATTAAATTTTATTGCGTGTTATATCAATCGTGGGATTAAATAAATAATTAAACAAAATATAAATTATTTAAAATATTTATTTTAATAAAATCTGTACATACATACAATCAATGAATTATTTATCTATTAACAATAATAAAAATACTGCTTTTTTCATGGTCATTGGTAATAATTTTGCTAATTCTGTTTTTATAGCCTTTCTCTGAACAAATTGACATGTATGTATATGAATAACATATTTTCATTATTTTATTTGAAATTATTTTATATTATAACTACAAACATGCTTACAATATTTGCTTATTATATTAATTTTGGTATAAAGAAAACAATAGGATACAATGTAAACAGGGAATTTAATAAAATACAAATATACATTTTAATATAATACAGCATATGTACATATTTACAATATTATTGTGTCCATGTTTATTTTGGTTGTTTCTACACGATGGTCGTTGTGGTTGCCTTATGTCCGTCCACCAATCTAAAAATAAAAAGAAAATACCTATATTAAATGGCAAAAGGGATAAAATGTAAAACTTGGAAAATAAGTTCGTTATTGTCATATACAAGGTGAGTTTGTTACGATGTTCTCTACGGGTATCTCGGAAACTACTGGAGATAGAGAGTCGGTTAAATTGGGAAAGAATTGCAGTTTTGTGGGGTCATAAATATGCGCCTTTCAGATTTTTGAAACAGTTCATGGCGTACTAGATATTTAGAAAAAAACAAATTTTGGCTATTTTAAAAATTGTCCCTAATTCCATTATAATCTATTTTAGACAAAAAGTTTTCAAATAAAAGTTGTAAATAATCACATCCCTAATGAGTTTGTTTTCTTTGATTTTTTCTAAAGCCTGTCATTTTTGACATATGACACAAACAAGTGTTTTTTAAATAGAAACCATAGTTGGCCACGACTTCATAAAAAGCGCCATTTTTAAGCTTTTCAACGATATAAGCTGTAATATGTTTTTTTTTTTCGAAAAATTACTGAGTTATAGCCAATTCTTATAATTTTAAAACAATTTCACTTAGTTAGTCATGGAAACAAGTTCAATCGTCGTTGCTCTCAGACATGTGACATTGTCACATCCAAACTTTGTAAATTAAAATAAACGAAAATTGCAAATATTTATGATTCAACTTTTCTTGGTCATACATTTTCGAGGATACGTTGACCGGTGAACGTTACTTACGTTTTTTAGAAGAACGGTTTTCGAGGCATGTTAGAAAAGTTAAATTTAGATAGTCGCGCAACATTATGACACCTCCCCAGCCATAATGAAAGAAATGTTAAAAATTATTTATGTCATAATTATGCAAACTCGGGAATCGGAAGAGGTGGACCAATTGCATGGGCCTCCTCGATGAATTAAGAGGGTCACTCGAAGAAGCTGTGCGGGAGAACATTTTCTAAACTAAATTAAAGTGTATGGGGTAGTAATATGGTTTCAGTCTAATAACTATTTAGTAAACATGTTTAATTTATGCCAATGAAGACAGGTATTGATAATTTCGATTTCAAATATCTCGAGAACCCTTACTCGTAGCGATTTTTACCAAGAGACATTTTTTACGTAAAAAACTTCATAAATGTATATTTTTTTAACTCAGTAGTTTTATACAGGTACGGACGAAAAGTTATTACTCTTTATACCATTTAAAAAATATGTAGGTGGCGCCCTCTTTAAGTAGGAGTCATATTGACATCAAAATCAAATTTCTCATATCAAAAAACTCCCAGGCACCAATTTTCATCCAAATATTGGCGTGATTTCATAAATTATTTGGAAAAAATCGAAATAAAAATAAAACTTCTACACCCTGTATTTCTGAAACTAAACATTTAAGACATTTATTTATATGAACTTTTTTAATTATTTTTATCTGCAGAATATGCTATCGAAGTTTCCGGAATACAATTCGGACCACCCTGTAGATTATAATGGAATTGGAGACAAGTTTTAAAATTGCCAAAATTTGTTTTTTAAATAACTTTTTCAAAAATTCAATAGGGGCATAATATTTATAACCCCACAAAACTGCCCAAGCAGCATTTGGATGTCGGGACAACATTGTGTCACGCGACCAAACGTCGGGGCGCAACGTCGGCACAACCTCGTGCCAACCCTAGTCTGCACTAGTTTGGAGAATAATTTTTGGGTCGAAACGACCGACGTTGGATACCTACGTTGGCTAGTAGCCTAATTTAGAACAAACTGCAACGTTGTTTAAAATCCCAATTCACAGAAATACAAAACTATAATAATATGGCGTCTAAGTCACGTTTTATCCTAAATTGGGATAATTATAGTAAAAATATTATTTTTATGATTTAGTTAGAGACATATGCCAGATGGCAGTAAAGAAAAACAAAACAAAAGTATTTAAGTGTGGAGGATGTTTGAAGATCATAATTATTGAAACACTTTAACCAACCCTGTAACTCGTTACCCAAGGCAAAAAAGTTAAACGTAAGCAACTTCATTGATAAATGTATTGTTTCTACTTTGAAAAATACTAATGGGCCTTAAAATTAAAGAAGTTTTAAAAAAATTCTTGAATTTTTTTTTACTAAAATGAGAATAATTTATTCGCAATCGAAAAAAAATTGTTTCCGCGTGTTGTTTAGGGTCAAATATTTCAAGTTAATGTATTCAAAAAGCAGGAATTGCTATTTTAGGAACGAAACATTTTCTTATTCAACAACATGGCGGCTTTCACTTTGTTGTTTTGGAGATTCAGATGGAGTAGTTCGAGCAGTCGCATACTGGACTAATAAAGTCGCAGTTCGGCCTTAACAGGTAGTATACTAGTCGCAAGATTGCCTAATTTAGTCATCCTAGAGTCTAGCTTGTGCCGCCCTCTATATTCTAAATAAACGAGAGAGTGGATAAAGTATCGGTAATATGCCGATGTATATTTAAATTTAGTTTTATATGTGCCTTTCTTACGTCCCATTTTAATTAAGTTTTTTTTATAAAAACAAAAACAGCACCGAACTGTCGCACTGAACAGAACAATGAAGTGAAAATTTAAGATTTAAGGTTATGGTTCAATACAGTTGCAAAAAGGTAGTGGCTCGACGTCTTACCAACGTAAGAACAAGGAAATCTAAACAACGTTGGTATTAGTAAAGCAGACGACGTTTGCATAACGTTGGAATAGGTCCTGAAAGTGACGTCGGAAAACTCTTTATTGCCTAACATTGTAACTACCTTGTTCGAACCTAAACATCACTTAAGCAAAAAAGGTTACAAGACAACGTTTATTCGACGTCGCAGAAGCTTTTACTTTGTTGTAGTACTAGTTCAACGTCGGCACAACATTACAACAACGTTTACATTTATTTTAATACCTAAGGTACGGAGCTAACTATTTTTTGAAACTAATCCAACGTTGTGTTTAGTAAACATGTGGTTGCAAGTCGTGAAAATGCTACTTGGGTGCAATTCTTTCCCCATTTAACCGACTCTCTATCTTCAGTAGTTCCCGAGATACCTATAGAGAACATCGCAGGAAACTCACCCTGTATAATTTTTTTGATTCTTCAAACAAAAGTTAAATGAAATGTTTGGGATAACAAGTTGGTTTTAAATAGCAACGCCGATTCATTCCATAATGCAATCAAACACCAAACGTATTAACTGCTAAATTAATTAATTGGTAACGCAGAATTTGGCAAATTATCGCAAAACGATGCCCCAAACTAACTTGAGCTCCAGCCTATTAGCAACAAGCTGTGTTATAAAGCCGCCTACGTATGTTTATGGCTTGTTTCCAATTAAATGGCCTAATGAAAAGCCAGTCTATCAGACTCTACTCTATATTACATTACAGTTCGATTTCGGAAGATATACAGTGAGATAAAACAGAAACTACATACAGGCTGAGTTTCCTACGATGCGATTTTCTCTATGGGTATCTTCGAAACTACTGGAGATAGAGAGTCGGTTAAATGAAGAAAGAATTGCAGTTTTATGGGTCATAAATATGCGCCTTAGCGCCTTTCATATGTTTTTTTAAATGGAAACCATAGTTGGCCATGACTTCATAAAAAGCGTCATTTTTTAAGCATGTCAGCGATATAGCTACAATATGTTTTTTTTTTTAATTACTCAGTCATAGTCAATTCTTATCTTTCCTGACTAATTTCACTTAGTTAGCCATGGAAACAAGTTCAATCGTCGTTGCTGTCAGAATTGTGAAACCGTCACATCCAAACTTTGTAAATTAAAATAAACAAAAATTGTAAATATGAATTTTTCAAATGAAGAAAAGCGTGTAGGTGTATTGGTTCAACTTTTGTTAAAACATGTTAAAATGTATTTATATCATAATTATGTGGACTCAGGGATAGAAAAAGCTGGACCAATTGCGTGGGCCTCCTCGATCACCTGACCTATCCATTTTAGATTTTTTTTATGCGGTATGGTTAACAACAAGGTTTACAAAAGAACTTATGAATTAAGAGAGGCACCCGAAAAGACGGTACAGGAGAAGTTTAATTAAGTCGACCGGTCGTTCTGCGAGAATAACTAGAAATACAGTTTTAAAAAGATACATTTATGTACTCAAAACAATGGCGGATTTTTTGAACATTTATTTATAAACGAATTAGGGACAATTTTTAAAATAGTCAAAATTTGTTTTTTTCGAAATATCTAGTAGGCCATGAACTTTTTTAAAAATCTGAAAGGCGCATATTTATGACCCCACAAAACTGCAATTCTTTCCCCATTTAACCGACTCTCTGTCTGCAGTAGGTTCCGAGATACCCATAGAGAACATCGTAGGAAACTCACCCTGTATATCGTAGTAGAAAGTTATTAAAGTTAAGATTTAATTATTGACCGATCAGAGATTTTTGAAGTTTGAATTTAACAAACAGTTCTTTTTAATATTTTTTTCGTATATGGTGTTTTGTTTAAAATACACATTTGTTTGTTTTTTATTAACACAGGACCCTAATTTTAAAAAAATACTCTATTAGATTTCTTCAGTTTACAATAATTTGAAGTAATCACTTGTCACTCAAATTTTAAATATATTAATTTGATGCTATGCGTTCCAATTTCCAATTGCACCAACTTATTTCTTTCAAAAATAAAATAAACTACTTTGAAATTAAAATGGCAGACACATATATCACTGTCGAGGATTTTGGACAAAGTAGTTCCTTTTGGACAAAGGAAGTAGTTGGACAGACATAAATTAGGATTAAATTACTTATTCACTAATTGTTTTTGGTCACTTCCTGTTTTACCGGAAATGACAACAACTTTTGGTTTTTAAATGGCACTCTGAATAGAATGGCAACTTTCCACATTTCGGCGTAAAAATTGTATTTTAAATTTCAATCTAATGTTTTGAGTGTCGTGTCCTGGCCTGGCCTGTTAAAAGATGCCCAAATCATATTTTTAATCATATCTCAATTTTTTTCAAATGGAACAAGGATGGCTCATTAGCATATTTCGAAAA